TCGTCCAATAAAGCAGACTCCCAGTCAAGGGCCTGGGAGGGCGCAGGCAGTTTGCTCCCAGTCCATGTCGGTTGGACAGAATGGGAGGCCTAGGATTGCCACAGAGTGCCTTATAATCCCTGTCTCAAAGGGGGTCACCACAGAAAATGGTTCTCTTCCAGTTGATTACCAACTGCCTCCCAACCTTCTGCTTCAGAGCCCACCCACCTACCCCCAACTCAAAGTGATATGTCTATCAGCTTTAAATTATCATGGGATGAACCACACATTTTTCAAGATACCCATGAAGCTCTGGGATAGATGAGGACATATATCTCTAGAACAGCCAGTTCCAAAATTCAAAGAGGGGAATTAGGAATTCACCCCAGAAGCACTGCCTGCAGAACAAGGAAGCTTCTCCACACACTCCACCCCACCTCCCAGCTGAAGAAAGATGGCCTCCTTTGGGGAAACTGAGCCTTATTCTCGGATACAAAGTCCTAAAGGAGGAGAAGGAATGGAGAAAGGAAGACGTGGTTGGCACCTGAATATTTCCAGGCTCTCGGATATCTGTATTTGCTTCCTCCTCACACTTGGCAAAATATCATCTGTGCTGCATTGTCTCACCTCTGCCCAGGCCAGGCTTTGCTGCTTAAAATGAATTTTTGCAGTACATTATTCCAGATTTTCTGAATTGTGTCATACTTCCCATTAGAGCCCCAATAAATCCAGATGCCTGTCCAGCCACAAAGTTGAGAGACACACCATGGCTGTTTGGGGATGGCCCCATTTCTAGTCCCACGACCTTTCCTTAAACTCCTGCATCCATAACAAGGACTTCTTGGCAGGAGGACTCAGAACTCAAGGCGACACTGATCTTGACAGGAGCACCAGCAAAGTAAATGGGTTTTCAGAAACCTATAATTTCTCTGCAACCCTTGACTTGACTAAACACACATTTTTAGACAGAAGCACAGTGAGCTAGGCATTAAACAAAAATAGGCAGACTAATAGTGGTTCATGTATAGGATAACCTTCTATAAGGGAATTTATCTTTGATTTCAGGGTAAATTTCAGCTTTGCCAAGTTAACCAAATAATACAGCCAACAATTTAACAAGCAAGGGGGAGAGGAGGAAGCTACTGCAGCCGCAGCAGCCTGGAATTGATGAAGAAAGGCAATTGGAGGCATTAAAATATTGGCTTTGAAAACAGGCCATCAGTTTGCCTCACAGTGGATACATCTGAGAAGCTCAAGAAACAAGCCAGGCAGCCTGGAAAGCATGTCAAAGGTAATGACACTTAAAGCAGGGGTGTCAAACTCGCAATGTCATGTGATGTGTGGCGACATATCATGCCTTTTTTGACATTGCTACACCCCTGACTTAAAGGAACGTGGTGGTAAAAAATAAAGGAGAGCTCCAAGGGGCAGCAAACCTTCTCACCCCTGAACCTCATTAACAGAGACCCTGGGGGAAAAAAGGACTTTTATGCTAGGAAAGTTGACCAGTTCTCAAATGAGGCAATTTGCTTCTGCAGTAAGATACACAAGATGGTGACCAGAAGCCACCGGCTGTGGGATAGCTAAGAGTGGGGACTGCAGCACCAAACATGCCTTTAATAAAAACCTATGAGTCAACAATAATCGCTTCCAGGCAAGCCTAGTTTTAGAGATGGGATGGCTCAAAGGTACAGGTGAATTGAAGCTGCAGCACTAGAGGTCTTGCTAAAGTTTTCCACAAGACCTGGTGTAGGAGTTTATGTGACATGATAGCAGCAATCAGGAACCTCATCATCTCTTTTTTTAAGGTTGCCAGCAGCACATGAGACAAATGGAAACAACCCACTCCCAGTTACCATGTCAATATTAAGGGTTAGGATTAAATACCAGTTATTTTCTGGACCCAATCCGTGGTGTTGGCATTACTCTGATTAAAAAGACTTCACTTCAAGAGGAAGGTTGTGGATGTCAGTCTCCAATAACAGGCTTCAGATGTTAAGCAAGTGAGATGCTTCAGAGAAACAGCATCTACTAGTGATCTGGTATTAAATCAGCCACGTGTTTGGCAACCACACTCTGTTACCTGGCAAGATGACAAGCCTCAGAAAAGGAATTATTAGCCAACTCTTTTTTCACTCTTTGGTAGGTTACCTTTCCCCAATAAATTGCTTAAATAGGTGGATAGTTAACAATACAATAGGAAATATTAATATCCAGTAACTGGATATTAACAATATCTTGTCAAGCTGATTTTCCTGTCTTCTTTGCCAATTCACATTGGATATTGCCAAATATTCAAAAGTGATGGTAAGTTGCTTCAAGGACTAAAGACTTGGGAAATGATTGAATGTAAAAAAAAGAAATGAAAAAAAATCAGTTTGACATTATAAGAATTTTCCTGTCACCTAGAAATCAGGGGCACCTAAGAGCCACCACAAGAAGTCAGGCCAGGACATAAGTTTAACCCTTGCAATCCAGACCCATCTTTGGAAACTGAACAACTCCAGTATAACACAGACATTTCATGTGCCCTTCTCAATTTACACTTGCTTCCTGAATATGAATTATGACTGACAGAATTATGTTCCACCAATAGCCCAAAAGGCTTGCCAGGTACCATAAGAGGCCTTAATGCCAAAACTGTTTTCCTCTTCAGCTCCCCTCCAATATACAGCACAAGTATTTGCTCAATGGCAGACTGGTTCAAGTCTCTGCCACAAAGCAATCACTTTTGCAGGGTTTTTTTTTTCCAAAGAAAGCAAGATCTACACACACACACACACACACACACACACACATGCCATACCTCCAGCAGGAGCAGCAACATAGCCAAGAAAGACTTGGATGATTCCCTCTCACCCATCAACATGGAGTTGGATTTTCACCATTAGATTGTAAAGGAAAACGTCTGGATTGTAGAGGCCAGCTTTCTGAAATTCCTTGACAGCCAAGTACTTCATTTATGCCTCCAAGCTGCCCAAACCACCAGCATCTAAAATCAGGACTCCAGGATCACAAGACTATTCAGAATTTCTCAAAAAGGGACAACCTTTATCCTACAGATCAAACAGAAAATGCTCCAGGCAAGTGCAACTCACAGATCAATGAGCTATTTATTGTTTCCTCTTCTTTTCATCACGCAGATCGTATACTGGAAAGGGGTGAGACACATGCCTTTCTTCCTCTTCCAGGGCTATTCATATAGTCTTTGCAAAACTGAAGGCCATAAAATCTTCTCTTGGATGGCCTTGGAAGATCCAACATGGGGTCTTGTAGAGTTGTAGACTTCACTCAAGAAAGCATTTCACTGTAAGTCAGTGTTATCTCCTGGGCCTGCTGAATCATTCAGCAGGCTCAGAAATGTTGCAAAGGGTCCCGGGCAAACCACAAGGCACAATGAATGCAAGGCACAAAAATAGCCTTGCATTCATTGGCTGACGCTGGCCTTTGCAAGGACACTATAAAAGGTCTGCGCGCCATTTTTTCTGTTGCTGTTTGTTGGTGAATGAATAAAGAAGACTTGCTGTTCACACTACTCGTTTCCTTGCAATGTTTTTAACCCGTGAATTTAACAGCCACCCATCTATGGTGGATTCCATTTTAATGTATTTCCAAGTCAAGCACAAACTTTGATTCTGTATACAGGTGATCCTTGTTTAATGACATGTTCAGTGACCACTGAAGTTACAATAGCACTGAACAAGTGGTACTTACAACTGGTCCTCAAAGTTCTGGCCACTGCAGCATCCCTGTCGTCACAAGACTGCAATTCTTGGCAGTCCATGAGCAACTTCCAATAGGGCGTTGCAGTGTCCCAGTGGTGTGATGCAGTGGCATCCAACAAGCAAAGTCCATGGGAGATCACAAATCAGGACCATTATTTATTATTTATTTATTTATTTATTTAATTTTTATCCCGCCCTTCTCCTTACGGACTCAGGGCGGCTGACAGCCTTGTAAAACAGATACAACGATAAAAATACCCAGTTTAAAACCTAATTAAAATGAAATATTTGCTGTGGCCTATGTCAATTAAAATTACTCTTAAAACCACACTAAAAATTCCCCTAGGCCAATCCCACTTGTTGGAAGAGCCATGTCTTAAGGGCGCGGCGGAAGGAGGGGAGATCCGGGATCACCCGGATCTCTGGGGGTAGTTCGTTCCAGAGGGTGGGAGCTCCCACCGAGAAGGCCCTCCCCCTGGAGGTCGCCTGCCGGCACTGTCTGGCTGACGGCACCCTGAGGAGACCCACTCTGTGGGAGCGTACCGGCCGATGGGAGGTAATCGGCCGATGGGACGTCATGCTTAATAATAGCACAGAATCCACTTAATGAAGGCAACCAGAAGTGTCACCGCTATGAGGCCTAGTCACTGATATTGCGCTTTATGACTGCATCGCTTAGTGATGGAAATTTCCATTCTAATTACTGTCATTAAATGAGGACTAGTTTTAGTTCCTATTCCATGACTGCAGCCAATCCCAATCCCTTTATCTCTTGACATGAATAAAAAAAATCAGCTTCACATTTTCTCTTTTAAATTACATGCAGGAATGGATCTTTCTCCAATTTTTGAATGCAAAGCTTATAAATGTGACATGCACACAAGCTATGTAAAAGAAAAACCATTAAAACATATATGAGACAAATTTGAAAGATAAATTAAAAACTCTTTGGGTATACATGGCCAGATGTCCTACCAAAGTTTAAGCAGGGAGGTGCAACAAAACAGGTCTGAGCTGAATAATGCCAGAGCAAACTAAACTTGTGTTAATATCCTGAGTCAAAGATCCTGGGAAAATGGTGAAAAACTTGTTAGAAGCTTGGCAAACCACTTGAAGCAAAAAAAATCCTCAGAGAGATCTACTATCGAGGAAAACCTAGCCAAGGTTTGTGATCAGCCTGATTAGATTGTACTTTTGACCAATGACTTTTGGAGACACATCCGAAGTAGACCTTCAGGAGACCCCCCTAGAAATACCATGCAATAGAAGGGGGAACACTGCGGCTACCTCTCTTACCAGAGATGATAGAAACTGTATCTTTCTCCCAGGATACAACATTAACATATTCTTGCACTGAAGAAGGAATGAGGCACTTAAAAACAGCCACGTTTCCACGCATTGACCTTTGATCCTCCACTCGAACTGTATAAGGTTCCCTGAACACTGGGAAGAAAAACAACAGGTGAGCAGATAGATTAGCAACTTGTGTATTTCACCCAAAATTAATTTCACACCTTCCCTCATCTCTTCACCCTACAGCAGTGGTTCTCAACCTTTTTAATGCCGCGACCCCAACCGGTCGTAAGTCGAGGACTAAACCGGTCGTAAGTCGAGGACTAAACCGGTCGTAAGTCGGGGACTAAACCGGTCGTAAGTCGAGGACTACCCAACCAGTCGTAAGTCAAGGACTTTCCCTGCCCGGGAGCACCGTGCATGCGTGGTTCTGCCCCCTGCGCCGGTCGAGGCGTAGCTGGCAAGCAGCAGAGATGGAGCAGGCCGACCACCAGCTGCCCCAGCCCAAGAGAGGTAAGGCACCCGCCAGAAAAGGGGAAAAAATGGTGGACAAAAAAATGACGGACAAAAAAAATGGCGGACAGCCTTGCTTGGCAACCCCCGTGAAATGGTCGATCGACCCCAAATGGGGTCCCGACCCACAGGTTGAGAACCACTGCCCTACAGGGTGTACACCCAAGAATACCCCAGACCATAGCTTCATTAATTGGGAGAAGACTGGAAAAAAAATGCTTTAATCCTTTGTTTCAAAGCATGCACAACTTTATACCTTCTATCATGTTCACATTCACTCACTTATTTTTCTAATTAATGAAGCCCCAAATATTGGAGTTCTTACTCCAAGAAAGTTGTTCCAATCACCAACCAAAAGGTTCTGCGCTTTCTTCTGGTTCCACATGGTATCTTTTGAGTTGCAGCAGCCAATTGAAGTCCAAACTGAAGCCAGACAATCATAGCCCTGACTCAGCTTCAAGCAGGTCAGCTGCTCCCCATTACCTAAGGTTTGGCCTATGGGCAGAGGTGCATCTCTCCCCACCTGACCAGAGTGGACAAATCTTCTAGCTTCCTCCTGCTGAACAAACTTTCCTCCAGCATGATCAGATGCACTAGGTTTTTCTAGGGGCTTGCGGGGCCCTTCAGTGAAATCTCACTCCCAGCACAGAAGTTGTACCTCAGTTTCTCCAGACAGACTTCAAGTTTCTTTGCACTTGATCCTGCTCCTTTCTGTGCTGGGCCCTAACAACTGAAGAAATGGAGACAGGTAATTTTGGACTCAACACCTGGAAGGATTTCCATAGGCCTGGCCCCTGCTGAACTTCCACTGCAGTGGGAAATGAGCCAGTGGATGGAGGCCCCAGATGTAGAAGAGCAAGGCAGCTCCCATTGCCCAATGGATGAGACCGGCTTTCTTTTTTTACTTTTTTGTTTATATCCTGCCTTTATTATTCTTAGGCACCTTTTCTGAAGCAGCCATAGACAAAGATAAGTGCAAAAAAAAATTTGTTTGTTTTCCAGGCATGAGTGGATCCCACTGCAATGTGAGTTAGAATCCAGAACCACATGTGGCACATCCCAATGTTTGATTATTGACACCACCCGACAATGATCTAGTCTTGGTGTTCCAAAGATCTAGTTGGGTGCTGCAATGCATTTATTTGGCTAGCCCCATGTGATGCTATTGAGCTAATTTCCCAACCAGGAGGAAACAAGAAATGAAGTTATAAGAAATAAGAAACAAGGACTATCGCAAGAGTCTCTTCCCCCTTGCTCCTCACATCCAAGGGAACAGAATATAAAAGAAGAAGGTTAAAGGCTGTCTGTTAAGAATTCTAAGGAAATCATCATGGCATAGTGCCCTCAAAATACAAATAAAATCATGTGCACATATAGAAACATTTTTTATAACCAGTATTGTAATTCAAGTAAATAATTCACTTTTTGGTCTTTAATGTCCTATCTCACCCTGTGAGGCAAGGAAGGAAAAAGCTGGGTACCAAGCCAGGGTGTGTGCACTTTGACAATCGGTGTTTAATAGTTTACCTAATGGAACCGATGGGGCTCCTCGTCCACCCACTTGGTTGATCATTGACCAAAACTGCTCTCCCACCTGCTCCTCCCTTTCCTCTGCTTAACTGGTCCTCCAAATGCTTAGCCTGAAGCTCACAAAAGGATGTGTCCGGGGCCCAAATGCCATCCAGAAAGCAGAATCAGATCTCCGCCATGGCTAGTGAAGACCTATTGCACCCCAGTGTATTTTCCTTCCCCCAGCAAATATCATTCTCTGGGTCCAAACTTAGCTAGCAACACCCTCTCCTACCAGTCAAGAAGAAAGGCTGCCCTCCCTCGGCCAGCCAATACCTGCTTTGACCCGGATGTTTGGGCTCCTGATTTTGCCCACGGAGTTCTCTGCAGTACAGAAGTAAACATTGTCGTGGATAAAGCTGTTGAAGGCAGATGGCGAGAAGGGGTAAAGTTGAAGAGTCCCATTGGCATGGACGTGGCGGATGTGTGGGACATCATAGATGTCATCCCCAGTAGCAAGGTACCAGCGAAGGGTGGCACTGGGAGATCCTGCTGCTGGACAAGGGATGACCACTCCCACAGAGCTGGAAAAGGTCACCTGCTGAATGGAGTCGTTCACAAAATAGAGGCTGGTACCCACATCTTCAGTATGCGCTGTGGGGGCAAGCAGAAAGTGAATGCAGTTCCCAAAGAACAAGATCATCTGAGCCTGCCAAGCCCCTGCCTCCCTTCCTTGTTCCTCCTGGCTCAGCACTCCCCTTGGGCCGATTCGAAGGAAAAGAGAAGCAAGTTGGGAAAAGTGCAGAAAAGAGCAGCCCAAATGACCTGGAGGCTAGTAGAGATTAGATGCTTTTGCTGAGAAAGCTTGGCGGGGGGGTGGGGGGGTGAATACAGCTCAGACTTGGAACATGAAAAGTGGGCCATCGGTATTTTTTCCCTCCTCCAGTTTGATTTGTGACAGTTCAACATAGTGGTGAAGGCACCGGCTGTAGGAGATGACCAGGCAAAGCCCAAGCAAGGGGTCAACCGCATCATCAGTTTGGAGTCCCTTTACACCCACAAGAGACCTAAGTCCAGTCCACCTTGAGTTCCATTGACTCTTATCTACCCCCAATTTGCTTGGACCATTAGTAGTTCAGATTCTTGTAGAGAGTGTTAGCATGCAATAAATCTATATTCATTTGAATTGCCTTCTTCCTGATTTCTTGCACCTAGCACTGGGTTAGAAACTGAGAGGCCTTCGGACTTCCGGTGGTGACAGCTGGCATCGCATGGTGGCTTTTTTAGCCGCCCGTCCGGGAGCGCGTCAAAGCCTGAAGAGACAGCGTTTGCCAGCTGTCTCTCGGCTAGGAACCTCGTCCCTCGGGCAAAGAGGGAGAGGTGAGTGAGTCCGGATAGGGTTAGAGCTTCCTTTCGCCCCGGTTTTGTCTTAATCCGGGGTGAAAGATGCTAGCTCGCCCGGAGTCTGGACACTC